TGTGTACAAAGAACCATTATTTGACCGTTACACAAAGTTATCTGCGGAAGTTTTTTCTAAGATAAAAATGGCTGCCAGATGTCAAAGAATTTGTTTACAGATCCCCTAACAGTATATCTAATCTTCTCTAAATGAATGTAAGACATAACTTCTCTTAACCAATGACCATATACTGAAGGATGTGGATCCTTCCAACGTAGAAGAATAAGTCTTCTAGCCAGTAGAGAGCAGAAAGCTAACACTGCCCTCTGATGTTCACTGAGGGAAGCTTCTGCTGGAGCCACCCCAAAAAGTGAAATGAGTGGTGATGGATGAACAGTTCGTCCAAATAGTCCTTCATTATAGTTTTTTTTAAGACAAAGCTAATTGAAAGGGGCGCTGAGCAGGGTTACAACCAGGGATTACAAATACTTACTTTTTTTCTTCTGCAGTTTAACGCCCCCTCCAGCAGATGGTGCTCTAGGCGACCGCCTAGTTTGCCTATGCCAAAAGCCGGCTCTGTATTTAATATGCCATTGTAGCAGACTGTGCAAGACTAACTTAATTTAAGTTTAATTAAAACAGGGTCATTTCAGGTGGAGAAAAGACTTAAATTTCCACATAAACATGAAACGTAAGGGTGATATTTTGTTTGAAAGGCTGAATCGTTAAGTTAGAATGAGTTGATTTCAACCGCAGGAAAAAAAGTCTTTAAAAGACAAACAGTGGGTCTGATACCTTGATGTTCTTGGTTGCCTCGAAGCCATCCAGCTGATTGAGCAGCTCCAACATCGTCCTCTGCACCTCACTGTCCCCACCTGAGCCGCCCTCAAGACGAGAGGAGCCGATGGAGTCGATCTCGTCCATGAAAATGATGGAGGGAGCGTGTTCTCTTGCCATGACGAACAACTCTCGCACCATACGGGCACCTGGGGTTAGAAAACGTGTGTTTAAAAAATAATGAAGTTTTAAAGACGAACATGAATAAAAGTATCAAGAAGAAACAAGAGCTCACCCTCTCCAATAAATTTCTGAACCAGTTCGGAACCAGACACTCTGATGAAGGTACAGTCGGTGTGGTGGGCCACAGCTCTGGCCAGCAGGGTCTTCCCCGTACCTGGAGGCCCATACAGCAGCACACCCTGCGAGATGAGCAAAACAGAACCATTATGTAGCGGAATATTTAGGAATTAAGGTAATCTGAGTTTTAGAACACKTATGTGCTGATTTTAGTTTGTTGTGAACAAATCAGTTGCAGTCTAATTATGACTTCAACAAAAACCTTTACTCCTTCAATTCATATTAAAAAAAACATTTTGGCTTTTACGCCTCTGTCACCTGCCTTGACAGTCTCTCACCTTCGGCTGTGCAATTCCCAAAGCTTCAAACAGCTCGGGGTGCTTGACAGGCAGCTCGATGACTTCTTTGATCTCCTTGATTTGCTTATCCAGGCCACCGATCATTTCATAGGTGGAGTCCGGTACCTTCTCCACCATCATTAGTGACACCAGAGGGTCCACTTTGTTGGGCAGGATCTTGTGCAGGGTGTAGCTGTCGTTTCGCAAAGCCACTCGGCAATTAGGAGTCACCTGATGTGAATGTTGCACAGGCATTTAATGAAAACTGTAAACACAGCTTAAAGTTTCCTGCTTCAAATCATTATTAARCAATACCTACATCGTTAATGTCAATGTTCTTGTCCACATCCACAACAAACTTTCCTTCTGGATGCACCTGAGTTGATCAGAAAACAAGTTCATCCAAACTGCCTGACATGAACTCAAACTGAAGCTGCGTGAACACAACACACCTTGACCAGCACTTTCTTCTTGTCCATAACCCTGACCACTTCGCCCACATAGGATCCCTGCTCCTGCAGCAGCTGCAGCTCCTCACGAAGGAGGCGCACTGAGACACAAAACCAAGGACAATGTTTTACTACTTATGGGAAAATGTTTCTCTACCAGCTTTTTGAACAGAATGAAAAAAAATGTGGCAATAACATAGCTATTAGAATGAAAACATACCTTTGGCATTTAGTTCATTCCTTTGTGCCTGCAGACGTCTGAGATTCTGACTCTTTTCATTCACCGTCAACTGTTAAAAAATAGAAATAACGAGTTGATGTAATGTACGCGGAAAATATGTAACTCCAGACATGATGCATCCTCTCTCACCTGCAACTCTTCTATCTTTGACARGTAGTACTGTCGAAGACCCGTGCCACCTTTACTCTCCCCCACGTCCATCTGTTGAAGACAAGTTCATTTTAATGGGACATTTATTAAATCATATATCCACTACAGCCATGAGCTAAAGCACCAACCCATTATCAATGACTGATAGTTTTTGTCTTTAAGGAGTTGCGCATGTGTGAACATAATTCCCTTACTTTCTCTCTCCAACATGAAATTGTTTCATTTCTTTCTTTTAATCTCATATTGTTACATTAGTTGTACATGTTGGATATTGAAAATTTTGATCCAAATATGTTCGAATTGAGGTTTTCTGTAATAAATTTAAATCACTTTTTAACCCTCCTGTTATGTGTGTTTCTGAGGAACAGCATTATTGTTCCTGTGTCAGTTTGTCCTGGAGAATGTTAAATCGTGCAGTTATGTCAGAAACCAAAAATCACCCAAAACATTGTTGTGTCTGATTATTGACTTCATTACTGACCATTTCAATCAATATTTGTGTGTTGATGTTTATTAGATTTCTCACAGATAAAGGATCAATAAGGACAATTCACTACTTTTTCACAAAAAAATGCACATAACATTTTTTTATATCGTGTCCTGATGCATCTCAGTAATCCAGGTAAAAATCAGCACAAACAGAGCAATGTTGTATATGCTGTTAAGTGCCAGGAGGACTGCGACCAGTTATACATCGGGGAAACAAAGCAGCCACTGTTCAAAAG